CACGTAACACCAAACTCGAAAACACGACTGGTTGAAGCCGTTCAACAAGCGGCAACTTGTGGAACGGAGTAGAGCCAAGCTGTATTTTCCTTCAACAACGTTCAACAACGTTCGACATCACACGATACACTGTTCAACATTTGTTGAACAGCAGCTGCAACATTTGTTGCTCAACAAATGTCGAACCGAATATCATTCGCTTAAAATGGAGACATCGAACGGTATAGGTAAATGGCCAACGTTAAGTGGGAGATAAGTTTCAAACAGAACTTGGAATTTTTCTGTCATGTGTCATGGAAGTAGTCGCGCGATACACTATTTTTTCTGTTGTACAACCACTAAGCTCGAACTGAGTTTGCTGAACTGAGTTTCCTGCTCGAACTGAGCTGATAAAACACTCAGGACATTTGAGAACACTCGAGAAATATTTCCCTCATGTTCACAAATGCCCGTCGTGTTTTATCACAGTGACACGGCTTAGGCTTCTTTATTTGTTGAATAACAGTCGGAGTGACTGGTTGGAAGATTATGATTCTTACGCGCGTATGTGATGACATTTGCTCATAAACATCTTAGTGAATACAAACCAGTGGTTCTCGCCTGGAGAACAGTAAATGCCCTTTCTAAAGCAGACATTTCAAATTGCTGAACACCTAAGACATGTACTTGAAAACAAAAGGCGGATAAAGTAAGGAGACTAGACGTTTTATCGTCGCTATTGGATTCAAACACTTCTGCGAGGTTTTATACGTCTGCGAGTTTCTACTGTAAACAAGAGTTTACTTCTGTTTGAAGTTTGCTGGACCACGTACTGTTCAGCAGCCTATGACATCATTCAGCGAATTTTTCTTTTAATGAGGTATTGGCAAAGCAGACCTGGTCGAGGATACATCGAGATTACTTCATGAAAAATGAGCGAGTAGTTGACTAGTATCGGAAAAAGAACGAGCTGGTGACCCCAGCGAATGGCTGAGTTTTCTGATACACTCCAACGAGTAAACAAATTATACATAACACTCCCTCGTCACCAGACCGCTCTCGGCTCGTCCAGCTCGCCCTAGACAATGACTACACTCAGCTAGCTCGCTAACTGACTATTTACAATGCAAAATACTCACAACACAATGCTTACATTCTCTACATCAGTAATAGTTACACGAAACATCCTACATACAATTTACGTTACATTACTTACTTCACAGTACTTACAGCGTAGTTACGGTAAACATTTATCTAGCTACTACTTACTTGGTTACACTTATACCACTTACATACTGGATTTTTTCCCCTCCCCCTATTGTATATGATATTATTTGAGCAAGATTAACCCCTTTTACAGTTTTTACAATAACGTCTTTGATTTCTAGTTCACTTTGAAAAAAAAAAACGCTAATAATTTCACATTACTTATATTTGTTTTGTTTTGTTTTGTTTTTTCCACTAGTTACCACGCGCTGTTACATAATACTGGTGCACACTTTCACATATTTCTTAACTGCTTAATGATTTTGTTTTTAGTTGATGTGAAATATTGTGTCTATATTTGGGGAAGCATGCTCATTATGAAAAGCGCGTACAAGATAAAATACAACAGAGAAAGGGGAAAAGAAAAAAGGACACAAAAGAACACAAACTACGAAGGAGGCCGCCAATTCTGGTGTAAGGTTTTGGAAAAATAAAGAGTAAAATTAGAAAGTAACTTGAATAGCAAATGGGGAGCTGCTAAATAAAGGTGGATTGAAGTCACAGTTCATTTGAATAGATTTCATTTCGATTTGTATTTCTTAAAAGTGTTTGTCTTATAAGCATAACACTTTTCGATTTCTTAGCACTTAAGGAAAGTTTGTGAAAATACTTGTAAATTCGGGAGAGTTTACTTTATTTTCGATGAATAAATGTGATATCTGCCTGATTAACTGCCGCACGAGACCAATCCGGATAAAAGATTGGCCGGTTTGCAATTCTTATAAGGAAGTTGAACCAAACTGGCTCATCGCCGAAGTGTGTTGGGTTTTCTTCATGGATTAAATTGTATCAGATTTCTATTACTTCCTTGGTAAAAGAATCCTGAATGTTCAAACCAGCTACATCAGCTTGCTTCAAGTTACCAGTCAGAAGTAATTTACCGTCATGTTGTTTAATAAAAAAAAATCAAAAAAGATCGAGTTTCCATTTTACTTGATTGTTGTCATCAGTGCTTCTTTATACCCATTTTGATTTCAGGGCATAATTGAAGGATCGAATATCTAACATTTTTAATCCACCATCTTTATATTCGTTTAACATCACACTTCTTTTAATTTTATCCCCTCTTCCATCCCACAGAAAATTGTACAGAAGTTGATGTATTTCTTTCAGATAAGGTTGCGAAGATGGCAAAGATGACATGATGTAAACAAGCTGAGATGCAGCTAAGCTTTTAATAACAGTAACATTCCCTAGCAGAGCGGTTAATCATCTATGCTGCCAACAACTTAA